TAAGTCGCTGCGTCTTTTCTCCCACGTAAAATGGCACAGGATTTGAGATTATATATCATATATATATGATTTTTAGTCCCATTAGGAGTTCGAGGAAATATGTTCCAAGTCTGCCAGTATAATTTACACGCGCTGAAATGTCGCCATTCTGACCTTGGAAAGAACTGCGAATTGCCAGACGTCTAATAGGAAACTTATGCTAGACTTTTGTTTTAGGTCTGAGTTTGGCAGGTTCCACAGGACTCGTGTTCGCCGGCACAGCCTAACCCGGGTCTGACCCGGTAGGAATGGCTGGGTTAGGGCCAGGGTTCCCCCTAAGCTGAATGAGTGTGAGCCAGCTCACAGTTTCTTAGCCTCGGGCTCACACATTTTGGTCGTAGCTCAGGAAGGGCGGCTCCAGAGCAAACTGACTGATGCAGCAGCCAAATCGCACGCTCACAACTTTTAATGCCGGTAGCTCACAAAGTATAATTTTTGCTCACAAGACTCCACAGCTTAGAAGGAGCATTGGTTAGGCCTCGAGGGAACTTTGCCTGGGAATCAGTTCCAGGGAAAGGCCTTAAGTATGTGTGGTCTGGGTTGGAAGACACTAAAAGGGGTGCTTTCACACACACTCGCACTCACTCACTCTCTCACACACAAACTAAATAACCCGCTTTCAACCCACTCACAATATGCCTTGGACCTGGATTTCGCCGGGTTCAATGGCAAGATCTCCTTGCGAACCCTCGCCGAAGCGGATCCAAACTGCAATATTTGACAGGTGCGAAAGCCCTTAAAAAGCCCCCCCTCCGAGGGCCCTGTCAAAACAAAGAGCGAGTTGGTGTGTGTGTGTGGGGGGGGTGAGGGTGGGGGAGATTACCCGGTTCCGGTTTCCAATCCCTTTCCCCTACCTAGCAGGGTTGTTGTGCCAGGGAAGCGGGAGAAAAGGAGCAAAACTGTGTCAAGACCGAATTGGGTCTTTCTTTCCGACCTTGGGGTGTGTGTGTGAAGTAGAGACAAGAATCGGCCTCTTCCCCCCCCCCCCCCCCCCCCGCGGCAGCGCATTAGATCCTCGAGAAATCTCCAAACCGGCCTTTTCTTCCACAAAATGCTCAAGGCTTGGATCTGTCAGGAGCTATTAGCCTCATACATCTCTCTCTCTCTCTCTCTCTCCCCAAACCTGCAACGATTTTGGGGGAGGGGGAGATCAATAGATTTTGCGGGGAGGGTTTTCCCCCCAAAGGGCAGCTGACAACCAAATCGGTATTAAAAGGAATCAACATTCCCCCCCCCAGTGTTCCCTCTAAGCCGAGTTAGTGTGAGCCAGCCTCCGGCACACACGTTTTTGTCTCGGCTCCGGAAGGACGGCTCCAAAGCAAACTAATTTATGCACCAGCCACATCGCTGGCTCGCAACTTTAACGCCGGCGGCTCACAAAGTAGAATGTCTCGCTCACAGGACTCCACAGTTTAGAGGGAGCGTCGCCGCCCGTCCAATGAACAATGAAGACACAACCAGTGTTCCCTCTAAACTGAGTGAGTGTGAGCTAGCCCACAGGTTTTTAGCCTCCGGCTCACACAAACAGTGCTCCCTGTAAGATGAGTTAGCGTGCACTAGCTCACAGGTTTTTAGCCTCCGGCTCACACAAACAGTGCTCCCTCTAAGCTGAGTGAGTGTGAGCTAGCCCACAGGTTTTTAGCCTCCGGCTCACACAAACAGTGCTCCCTCTAAGCTGAGTGAGTGTGCGCTAGCTCACAGTTTTTTAGCCTCTGGTTTAGCTCAGGACGGAGGGCTAACTAATTGATGCAGCCGCCAAATCGCTCGCTCACGATTTTAATGCCCAGTAGCTCACAGAGTAGAATTTTTGCTCCACACCTTAGAGGGAGCGCTGGACGCAACCCTCATCTTGTCCATCCCCCCAATTTAAAAACTCACCAAAAAAAAAACTAAAAAAAAAACCCCCCCCCCCCCCCCGCAAGCCCAGAGATCCAAGCTTCCACCCAAATCTACTCAATTAAGCTTTCTTCAAAAGATCCCTTGGAGTGAGAGACTGGGGCGGAAAGAGGTCCCCCACTTCATACCAACGTTAATTACTAGTTTGTTTAGCTTACAACAATCCCTTCTCGCTCCCCCCCCCCAAGTATTTCTAAAAGTCTCCGAAATCTAGAGGGTTTTTTTTTTTTTGCTTCTAAATCTAATTAGCCCAAGTGCTAATTGTTGGAGGGGGTGTGTGGAATGGATGAATGAAATCACTTCAGGTCTGGGATGATAGAGGGGGCGGGTTGAGGGGGGGGGTGTACCAGTGTTCCCTCTAAGCTGAGTTGGTGTGAGCTAGCTCACCGGTTTTTTAGCCTCCGGCTTACACCTTCGCTCAGGAAGGGATGGCTCCAGAGAGCAAACTGATTTCTGCAGTAGCCGAATCGCTCGCTCACAGCTTTAATGCCAGTCGTTCACAAAGTCGAAATTTTTGCTCACAAAGTCGAAATTTTTGCTCACAAGACTCCGCAGCTTAGAGGGAACATTGCGCGGGGGGGGGGGGCTGTTACACGGACCCGTTCCCTAGTTTGGGGCATTTTAATTCTGAACTTTTTTGCGTGGGAGGGGGCAGGTCGTTGCTGTGTTTGTTGGGGGGCGAGGGCTTTTTTGGCCACGGCGAGGCCCGGGTGTAATTAAAAAAAAGTGGGTTGGGGGAGACACACAGGGCTTTGTCCCCGAAAAGGGGGGAGGGAATCTTTGTTAGCATGCTTTAAAAAAAATCCGAGGGGTCTTTTGTTGTCTCCAAAATGGGCTCCGTCGACTTTGCTGGGAGACGATTAGCTAGTTGTTAAGCCCAGAGAATCCACCCCCACCCCCCACCCCCGCTATCGCCTTTTGGGGTAGCGGGAGACCATCGCTGTCCGTGTGTATTGGAGGCCAGTCTGTGACTGTATCCCCTGTGACTTTTGTCAAGGGCGGGGGGGGGGGGGGGGT